TCATTCCCACCCGCAGCCCCCGCTGCTCCTCTTCTGTGGTCCGGGCTGGGAGAGGAAGAGGATGAAGCGCAGGGGGAGGAGGAAGGCACCGTCCCTTGACTCCTCCTGTCACAGCCTGCAGGGGACACAACCCAGCAGAGTCAGCCCCAGGTGCAGGATAAAAACCCTCCCCCAAAAGGTGCTGCCCCCCCAAGTGCTCCTGTCCCTCCTGGCTGGGGTTTCCAAGGGGCAGGGACCTCTTTGGTGTCACCCAGAGGGACAGGAGCTCCTGGGGGACATCCCCCCCCTCACCTGCCAGCTCCCCCCCCCCACCCCCCCAGCAGGACCTGGGGGGGGATTTGTCCCCTGTCCTCTCCCTGCAGGATGAGCTGGGACTGGCCAGACTGGTCCCCCCCCAAGAAGGTGCAGCTGGGGTGGGAAGTCCAGCCCAGTGTCCTCTCCCCCACCCCCCAACCATCACCTCTTAGCAAAGGTAATTAATTAAGGAGGTAATGAATGAAGGAGGAGCTGCCCAGGCAGCCCAAGGGGATGACAAAACCCTTCCAAACCCAACCAGGCAACTCCACAACCTGGGATTCCACCACCTCCAGCTCCAGGAGGAGGAATCAGCTTCTCCAACCTTCGTGGGGCCCAAGGGGGATGTTTGAAGCCCCCCCAGGTGGCCTCACTTCTCTCCCTCAGCTCATCTTCCCATCCCAGTTTCCAGCCCCCATGGGCTGGGTGATACACACTGGGAGAAGGGAAAAATCCCCCCCCCCAACCCGTGGGTTCAGCTCTTGGTCCTATTAGTCATCAGAAGATGAATTTTGGAGAAGAAAATGAGTTTCTAAGTTATTTTTTCCCTGCTGTCACCAACAGGGCAGATCCCCAACCCTGCCTGGGGACTCATCCGTGGCTGCTGGGGCAGGGAAATGGGACTGAGGGAAAGGGATGGGGCAGGACTGGGCCATGAACTGCCTGAGGGAGAAGAGAAGACCACGTTCTTGTCCCACCACTGGAAGCTGCAAGGGCTGGTGCAGGGAGGGACCTCGGGCAGGAAATCCCAACCCTCAGTTCCATCTGGGCCAAAAAAACAAGGATAAATCACCTTCCCAGGAGGGAAAAGCTGCTCTGAGCATCCTGCCCAGGATGTCCCTGAAGGAGACGTCCCCAGAGGAGATGTCCCTAAGGTCCTGGACCTACCCTGCCTCTTCCTCCCAGTGTTGGTGGAACATGTCACCAAGCTCCTTCCTCATCATCTCCAACCACCCCCCCAGGCTTTCCCAGCCCCACAGGGACAGCCAGCCCTGCACTGACAGCTGGCACAGCCACAGCACTTGGTCACCAGACTTCCCAGCCCTTCTTGCTCTCCCCAGGGCAGCAATGTGCCCACAGCTTGTCCCCATGGTCCCCCAACAGCACCCAGTGGGGCTTGAGGAGTGCGGGGAGGGGGAGGTACAAGGAGGGGCAGGGAAGGACAAGGAGGGACAGAAAAGGGACAAGGAGGGACAGGAGAAGGACAAGCAGGGGCAGGAGAAGGACAAGGAGGGGCAGGAGAAGGACAAGGAGGGGCAGGAGAGGGACAAGGAGGGGCAGGAGAGGGACAAGGAGGGGCAGGGAAGGACAAGCAGGGGCAGGGGAAGGACAAGCAGGGGCAGGGGAAGGACAAGCAGGGGCAGGGGAAGGACAAGCAGGGGCAGGAGAGGGACAAGGAGGGGAAGGAGAAGGAGGGGCAGGGAAGGAGAAGGAGGGGCAGGAGAAGGACAAGGAGGGGCAGGGAAGGACAAGGAGGGGCAGGAGAGGGACAAGCAGGGGCAGGGAAGGACAAGGAGGGGCAGGAGAAGGACAAGGAGGGGAAGGAGAAGGAGGGGCAGGGAAGGAGAAGGAGGGGCAGGAGAAGGACAAGGAGGGGAAGGAGAAGGAGGGGCAGGGAAGGAGAAGGAGGGGCAGGAGAAGGACAAGGAAGGGCAGGGGAAGGACAAGCAGGGGCAGGGGAAGGACAAGCAGGGGCAGGGGAAGGACAAGCAGGGGCAGGGGAAGGACAAGCAGGGGCAGGAGAGGGACAAGGAGGGGCAGGAGAGGGACAAGGAGGGGCAGGGAAGGACAAGCAGGGGCAGGGGAAGGACAAGCAGGGGCAGGGGAAGGACAAGCAGGAGCAGGGACTCACTCTGCTGACTTCCAGAAGTGCCCTGGGTGGGAAAGGCGACGGTTGCGCTTTGGCAGTTTCTCCAGCATGTCCATGAGCTTGGTGAAGGTGGGTCTCTCCTCTTGCTCGTAGGCCCAGCAGAACAGCAGGATGTCCTGCAACCACACAGGGTGAGGGTGTGAGCCAACAGCCTGTCCCTCTCCCACCACAACCCCCATGCCCAACATCCAGCCCATGAGGACCTCGTCTCCATCACCACCTCCTGGTGAAGGGCTGGGATGGAGGGGACGTGTCCCACCCATGAGGATCCCATCTCCATCACCACATCCTTGTCCAGGGCTGGGATGGAGGGGACGTGTCCAACCCATGAGGATCCCATCTCCATCACCACATCCTTGTCCATGGCTGGGATGGAGGGGACGTGTCCCACCCATGAGGATCCCATCTCCATCACCACCTCCTGGTGAAGGGCTGGGATGGAGAGGATGTGTCCAACTCATGAGGATCCCATCTCCATCACCACATCCTGGCCAAGGGCTGGGATGGAGGGGACGTGTCCCACCCATGAGGATCCCATCTCCATCACCACATCCTTGTCCAGGGCTGGGCTGGAAGGGACACACAAGCTGAGCTGCCACTCATGTCACAGCAGCAGTTCCCAGGTGGTGGGAACACAAGGTTTCCCTCTTTCCTGCTGGCAGATCCTGGCCACCATGGAGTGGTTTTCAAAGGGACCCTTCACCATTGGGGCAGGTTCCCCCTCCACACACCCCCACCCCACCCATGGGGCTCCAGCCCCACAACACCTACCGAGATCTCCTTGCCCATCCCAATCTGGCTGAGGTTGGGCTTCATCCCTCTTCCCACCTGCCAGATGATTGCTTCTGCTGGCTGGGTCTTGAAGGGCCATTCCCGGGCGTGCAGCTCGTACCAGATGGTGCTGAGGGGGCACAGAAGGGATTAGAGACAGGAGGAGCTGAGGCAGGGGGGCAGGGGGGGGGGACATCTGGCCCCTGCACCCACCCCCACCATCTCTCCCTGCTCCAAAAAAATCACCCACACCCAGGAGGTGTTTCAACCCAGATCCAACCCTGGAGGTGCTCAGAGTTTGTGAAGGAGATCCCACCACTCCCAGGTGGGGAAACTGAGGCAGCAGGGCTGCCAAGGTGGGGAAACTGAGGCTGTGGGGCTGACCCAGAGGAAGCCACCAGGCAGGAGGGAGGCTGTTGGGAAGCACCAGCCTCTTCCATCAAGTCAGCATCTCCTGCTGGGCTGCAACACCTCTTGGCAGAGCAGCTTCAGAGATGATGGGGGGGGGTGTGGTGTGGTAAATCCATGGTCCAGCTGCTGGGCTGGCACTTCCAGCTCTGCCACCAGCTCCAGCTGTGCCAGGCAAGGATGAGCAGCCAATTTCCCCCTCCTGTTTTTTGTTCCCCTTTTTCTTCTCCAAAAAAAGTGCTCTGAGCAGCAGAAAAAAAAGCCATCCAAGCCATGGCACAAACCACCCCCTGATGCCCACACCAGGTGGTGGCTGAGCCATCTGCTGCTGCACTGCTCCCACTGCTCAGCCAAGCCCTTCCCTTCCAGCAGGGCTCCCAAATCCGAAGGAATATCCCAAACCAAGGAGGTCACCAGCCTGAGCTGGTGGCCACCCCCACATCCCTCCACCCCCGCTCCCACCTGGGAGCTTTGCATCCTTGTTTTCTGGCACCTGGAGGCTGGATGAGCCTTGAATCTCACCCCAATTTCCATGGCCAGTTCCCTGGAGCTGCTTTTCCCATCAAGGGATGCCCTGGTGGCTGCCTGAGCCAGCAAGAAAGGGGGTTCAAATGGCATCAGGGTGGATAAATCTGGTGGAGCCAGAGGGGAGGAGGGGTCTGATAAAGGGAGGATCATCCTGAGGAAGGGGGGGGGTCCCTGATTTTGGAAACCAGCCCTCCTGGTTTGGGGAAAATGTGCCCAGTTTGGCTGGAAAGTTCCCCCCATTTGAAGAATGGGAGATGCCCTTGGGTGCTGTGGGTGTGGAGGAGCAGGCTGGGCTGGGTGGGCTGGAGGTGGAGCAGGTCCCAGAGGCACCAGGGAAGAACCTCAGGGAGGAGCAGGGATTTTTGAAGGTATCTCCACCCGTTCCCCTTCACGCCCCTAGTTGGGATTTGGGGGCTGATTTTTCTCACCTTCCCACTTCTTGTTCAGATGCAGCCAAAAGATTTTGGGTCCTGGAGATGGTGCTCCAAGGAGTCCTGTGCTCCCCTTGCAGGACAAGCCCACCTAGATCACACTAATGATTCCCACCACCCACCCCCTTTCATTTCACACTTTGAGAGCCTTTCAAAGACCTTTTCCTCTTGCTGCCACTGATCTTTCAACCCCTCCAGGGAAGCAGTGATGGCAAGAACCCTCTGGATCATCTGGGAGCCTCCTGGGCTTGGCAAAGGGCAGGGGAATCAAAAGAGCAAGAGGCAAAAGGTGGGGAAACCTTTTCATCTTTAAAGGGAGCTGGTGCTTTTAGGGAAGGACAAAGCTCAGGATCATAAGAGAGAGGAAAAGCTCAGCTGAAGGAACCAACTCTCACTTGGTTCCTTGTGATCTCTTAATTACTTCTTTATTTTTGTGCTATCAGGGAAGGAAAGGGAAGGAAAAAAGAAAAAAAAGCCAGACCCTTTACAGCTGTAATTACTGGGGTTTGGATGGAAATCTTTCCTCCCATGGCAGCCTCACCCAAGCTCAGCCCTGCAGCCTTGAAGGTCTCCAGGAGAACATGAACCTGCTGGGTCCCAGCCCAGCCCCACCTCAGGGAGGGGTTTCTGCTCTTCCTCCTGCCCTGAAGGAGGTTTCTTTTCAGCTCAAGGGCAGGAGCCATGAAGGACACTCAGCATTCTCCTCTTCTTGGGCTTTCAGCACCTCCCCCTCTGGCTCTCAGCACCAGCTCCCCCAGCCCGGCTGGGGGGGGAGAACTGGGGTGTCCAGGGGCTCCCAGACCTCTGTGGCCAACCCTGCTCATCCTCAACCCTCCTCATCCTCAACCCTCCTCATCCCCAAAACCCTCCTCATCCTCCAAACCCTTCTCATCCTCCAAACCCTTCTCATCCTCCAAACCCTCCTCATCCCCAAAATCCTCCTCATCCTCCAA